TAGCTGGTATTTGTCTGTGTTCATAGCATGGGGCAGAGACCTGAAAATAAGCCGATCCCAGGAGAACCTGCCCATGTCATATCTAACCTACCCATGTTGATATCATTTGTATTCAGACTATATATACTGTAAAGTTAGATATGCATGGTTTATAATTATTGAGTTTGATGTAGTTTTTCTTAAACTTTAAACTCTTTTACTTGATTTTCTTTGTTTTATTCTTATTTTTTTCTTTCTTAGCTCTAATATTTAAAGAACTTCAAGAGAGGCAGTTTTTAATTCCATTTTAAATTGTCTTAGAGCATTTTAAAGAAATAGTATTAATAAAGATTCTCCTTTAAATGTCATCCGTCCTCTTCCAGTGAGAGGAAAAGAGACCTCATTGGTTTTGCTTTATTTTCCTCCAAGGGTAATGCCAAGTTCAGGAGAGATTGAGAGGAAGAGAGATTAGGAAGGGTTGGATTTGATGTATAAGTCTGTTTTTCCTGTTCCCCCATGCTCATACAGGTATTTAGGTAAAATACTTTCGGGTCCTTGGAGGAAGTGAATGAACCTAATATCAGTGCTAATTCTGGTGTATTGGTCCCTGTCCCCTCCCTTTCAGGAAAGAAAGAGTAAAACAGTCATCTTTATTGCAGTTCCTTGTCTGCCGGTCTGGCCTCCACGCTGCCAGCCCATGAGGCCCCTCCAGTTCTCTTCTGTGTCCCCCTTTGTGACACGTCATACTCTGAGCTGCTGCTTCCACTTTTGAAGCTTCTCCACACTGGGCTCTGATGTCTACCTTTTCCTCTACTACCTCTAGTCTCTGTCCAGTCTCAAGGTTCTTTTCCAGATGCCTCTTCCTCAGGCTTCCAGGCGTTTCTTATTTCATGGACACTGTCCCATTCAGGTGACCCTCGTAGATTGACACTGTGTCGTTCAGCCATTGGGCTCTGAGTCTTCTGACTCTTACCTCACCTTGGTTACTTCTGTTTCCATCTATTCCATTTCTTAAAAGTCTTCCTCACTGTCATTACTACCCAGATGCCTTTTCTAAATCACAGTTAAAATTCAGTGCCACCACCTCCCAATGGCTGTCTGTAAGACTACAGAACCAATACTAAGCTCTTTTTTAAACAAACAAACCAGCTTTATTGCGATACAATTCACATACTGTGCAGGTGCCCATACATTTCAGTGTTTTTAGTATATTCATTCACACAGTGGCCCAACCATTGCCACAATCAATCAGGGAACATTTTTATCATCTCAGAAAGATACCCTATCTCTGTTAGCTGTCACTTCTGTCTCCCCACCTCCCTAGTCCTAGGGGACCGTTCTTCTACTTCCTTGTCTATAGATCTGCCTTTTCTGGACATTTCATGTAAATGGAATTATACAGTGTGTACTCTTTTGTGACTAGCTTCTTCTTTTCTAAAATTTCAGATTCAATGAACGATCAGGTTACAATGATTGCATTTGTTAGGTAAGGTCCCTGTTGTGGTTGTGTCCCCCACCCAGGAAGTGTGGCATGTACCCTTCCATCGTGCCCATTAGGTGGGAGCACACCAATCCCCCCCTTTCCTTTCCCCCCCTTTTCCCCTGCCTGCCTCCCCCTTCCCCCGAGACTAGTTTTTTCCACTTAATTTTAAAAAAATCTTCAACCATGTTATAGCATAATTTCCTTTGTATAGATGTACCGAGTTATATTTGTCTCTGCATAAGGGGATAGATATTTGGGTTGCTTCTACTTTTGGTGAATATGAATACTGCAGCTATGAACATTCATGGCCAAGTTTTGGTGGAGATGTAGGTTTTCATTTCTCTTGGGTATATATCTCGGAGAATTGCTGGATCATGTCGGAAATCTGGGTGTCACATTTTGAGGAAATACCAGCCTGTTTCCGAAGCAGCTATACCATTTCATATTCCCTCTAGCAACGTATGAGAGTTCCAAATTCTTCATTCCTTGTTATTGTCCTTTTGTCCTTATTTTTTATTTCATATTTTTTTTGAGACGGACTCTCAATCTGTTGCTTAGGCTAGAGTGCTGTGAAGTCAACTTAGCTCATAGCAACTTCAGACTCTTGGGTTCAAGCGATCCTCCTGCCTCAGCATCCAGAGTAGCTAGGACCACAGGCACTGGCCACGACACCTAGCTAATTTTTCTATTTTTAGTAGAGACAGGGTCTCATTCTTGCTCAGGCTGGTCCCCTGGAGTACTAATATTACAGGCTTGAGCCACTGTGCCTGCCTGACTGATGACTTTTGTTTGTAATCCAGATACATAGAGGCTTCCTGAGCAGCTGTGCAGTACATCCTGTCCTTTTTTTTTTTTTTTTTTTGTAGAGACAGAGTTTTACTTTATCACCCTTGGTAGACTGCCGTGGCATCACACAGCAACCTCCAATTCCTGGGCTTAGGCGATTCCCTTGCCTCAGCCACCCGAGTTGCTGGGACTACAGGCACCCCCCATAATGTCTGGCTATTTTTTGCAGTTCACCGGGGCCAGGTTTGAACCTGCCAGCCTCGGTATATGGGGCCAGCGCCCTGCCCACTGAACCACAGGTGCCACCCCCCCTTTTTTTAAAGAGACAGAGTCTCTCTTTGTTGCCCTTGGTAGAGTGCTGTGGCATCACAGCTCACAGCAGCCTCCAGCTTTTGGGCTTGGAGATTCTCTTGCCTCAGTCTCCCATAACACCCACCTGTTTTTTTGTTGCAGTTTGGCTGGGGCCAGGTTCGAACCTGCCACCCTCGGTATATGGGGCTGGTACCCTACTCACTGAGCCACAGGTGCCACCCATGCACCCTGACCTTGATCACTGTTATAGGTAGAGATCAAAGGACAACTGTCCACCAAGAGAGTCTACAAGTCGCCACACGATCCATTGCTCTGCCTTGTGCTTTTAGCTACCTCTTTAAGAATATCAGATAGTGTCTTCATCAGTGTCTTAAACAGGAAAAAAGTTTTAAGTGCCAAAATTGAAAAGCAAAGTGGTTCCCTTTCTAAATGTTGTTCTGGGTATTATTACATTTGTAAGTACTGAAATTCTCCCTGTCCAGCTCAGTGGAATAACTGTTGTTTGTCCTTGTTTTGGAATTTGGACATGATCATAGGAAGCAAAGGAGCCGGTGATAACTCTGCGAGGTCAGCGTGGATGGACCACTCATTAGCTGAGCATGGTGTTTCAGAGGTGGCACAGGGACAGAGCCCTGTGCTGTCCCCAGCATTTGGTGCTGAGAAATGATGCAGAACTGAGGCTTCAGATCCCCAGGACAGCTCTGGGAAGGGGCTTATTTAATGCAGCTTCCAGAGTCGCTTTTACTGTGAGCTGCACAGCTTGTGAATGCCAGGACACTCCAGGGCTGGGATAGGGGTGTGGGTAGGTGTTGGGAGGATAGGAATGGCCAGGCTGCCCTGCCCTCTTAGCTTTGTAGACTGCAGAGGGACCCTTAGTACCAGCAGCTTTTCAGGCACACCTGATTCTCCTTGTAATTGAAGCAATCTGTAAACTACAGTTGAGCCTTCAGGCAAGAGCAGCAACTTAAGGAAGCTGCAGCGTGTCTTGGTCTGGGAATTAGCTCCCAGGAACTACTTCACCAAGTCAGCACAGGGCTCATCACTGCCTGTGACTGTCCGCTTGGGTATTTCCTAGACGGAAACTAGGTCTTTGGAGAGACCCAGGATGATTTTTAGAACAAGGACTGATTGCCAGCAAGGGAACAGCCCTCGCTTTTGCTCACTCTGGGCCTGCGTGGTGCACAGCGACCCCCGGTGGCGGAGGGAGCGGCGCGGCGCCAGCCTCCTCCCCGCCCCCAGCCCGCAGCTGTAATGAAGGCAGTCTTCAAGATTTCAGAGAGCAACAATAGTAAACCTTTCTTTTTGCTCGTTTAGGGGAAGAGCAGTGCTAATGGGGTCAGACAGGCAAGGCCTGAAGTGATAAATAGAAAAAGGATGAAAAGAAAGAACAAACCCAGGGCACCTAATGGACCTGTCTGGACAGAAAATCGGCGTACAAAAAAGTGTGTCAGAATTGCGAACGCACACCGGCTCATTTATCACCGGGGTCTGCATAGAGAACAGGTCTGACGCTCCAGTGCGGAAGATCTGAATTCCAGGGCTGCCTGAAGTTCCCCAGATTTTTAATGTAGGTCCTGCTTTACATGTTAGAGAAGTGATGGTTGTGTTATATATTGAAGTATAGCATAGTTTGATCTAAAAGTCTAGCTAACTTTTACCATTGTGTGTAGGGGGGAGACCTAATGCTCAAGTATTTCTGCTTTTAAAAGTTGTCTCTATCCAATGTTGAAGACACGGGATTCTCGGAACAGCCCTTCTCAAAGAGTTCAGGAAAGAGGGCTCCTGAGAGTGGCCAGTCCCAGTTCAGTGCAACGTGCACGTGTCGGTGTAAGAGACAGATGGTGAAAATATTAAATACCGGAGGTGCTAAAAATGGAACCCTGTTTTGCACCTCTCCAGCCTTCGAACCAACGCAAGGATACAGAAGGCAGATTTTAAAACTGCAGGAGTTTCCTATCTGGGCGGCTATCTCCTTGCAATGATTTAAAAAGCTGACATCCAGAAGTCAGTCCAGTCGGTCGGGGGTGAATGACCGTTCGGACCAGATGCTGCTGCTCTGGCCGCCGCCCGCCCGAGTGTCGGCGGAGCCTGCTGACCACTCGCCGGTCCCCGGGGCTGGGGAGGCTCTGCCGGTCCAGAGGAGACACGTGACCCCGGGGGTCGCGCCCAGTCCGGGAAGAAGTGCTCTCGCAGCTCTGAAGCCCCGGGGGCGGCGAGGGCGGGACCGGCTGTGGGGGGAAGCGGGGGGGGCGGGGGGAATCCTCCTATAATTAGCTGGGAGATGCGTCGCCCTCTGCTATTTGCTGCGGCAGCCCCGGGTCACCTCCACGTCCTCCCCGACCCTCCCTCCGAGACCGCGCGGGCTTGGCCGGTAGGGCGCCGAGGCTTCAGCCAGACGCCAAGAGGGCGAGGGCGGGCGGTGCGGATTCTGCCGCCAGCTGCGCTGTGCAGATATGCTGGGGACCGTGACCGTCGTCACAGGTAAGCCACACGCCAGCTCTCTACCGTTCTGGGCGAGAAAAGCGCTTTCCTCCGGTTGACGTGCGTTTCGGGGGAAGCCTCGGAGGTCAGTGGCTAGCCGGTGATGGGCGTGTATTTCTTCTGTGTGCTGATTTTTTCATCAGAAGAACATTCTCTCTGTGGCCCAGCAAAACTTGAACAAACCCAACTTTTCGTTTTTGCCCGAGTACGAATATTTCTGACTGTGCCTGTGGGAGACTGGAAATACAGAGGGTGCCAAAAAAATGTACACGTATTTTAAGAAAGGAAAAAAAAATTAAATTTTAATATTGGAGTCTCGTTTCACTTCTGCAATGACCAGAGCTCAATATGCGAGATGACAAATGTTAATGACTGTATGTTATTAAAATTTTAATCCAGTTTTTTTCTTTCTTAAAATGTGAATACGTATTTTAGTACTTTCTGTGTGTGTGTGTGTATCAAGGGTTGTAGCTTTCCCTTTGGGGAGAGGGGAATATAGAGAGGATACAAAAGCAGCCAACTGCATAGAAACATGTCAGATGTATGTGAATTTTAACACAGGCTGTGAATGGTTAATCTCTTATAGTCATAAACAAGATAAATGCTTCTTTTTTTGAGAAATTACAAGTGTTTGGCATTTTGACTTGCTTATTAGGAACTTTCCGTAAGGGTGCACTTGGTGATTTAGGGAACTGAATATTAGCTCTGGCTTAAGGGGTGGTTTTAAGAAAGCCGTAGTTCCTATAAAATTGGTGGCTAGCAAGCAACACCATTAAGCAATGAATACTCAAAAATGTATGTTTCTTAAGTTTGCTTTCTAGGAATCTGGCCACAAGCATGAATTATAATATTTAATAACTACTTCTAGCAAGTACAGTCAGACTTTAGAATGCATTTATGGCCCCTGTAACTTGACAATTGGTATTTTATGCAGTTGTCCTGTGGCCTGACTCCTTGGGATCCTGGCGTTTCCTCTTCCTCTCTCTTTCCCCACAATCAAGAAAATTGAACTCCCATTTGCTAATTTAGATTTATAATAACAGTTCTTCTTTAAATATTTGGGATCATTGCTGCCAAATCTATGTGTATTTTTTAAAAAGCATAGTATAGAATTTCTAGGACTTAAAATTTTCCCGGTATAACTGCTTCTGCAAAGCCTTACCCTGCTGTGGAATTTTAAATGAATGTGAAAGTTTAGCAAAACTAAAAATACCTCTCACTTCCTATAGATTAGCTTGTTTACTCTGAGATTTCCTTAAAATTCCTTCCCCAAGTTTACTTGGCTAGCCTTTCTACCATTGTCTGGCTTGAAAAACTATTAGTGAATGGACTGTACAAAATGAAAAAATTAAAACCACAAAAATCTCCATTCCCCTCCCCCCAAATTGTTAATTTTTCTATGAATGAAATAATGCAAATGCCCAACTCTGATAAAGGCGACCTGGGAGTGTGATTTTCAGGGAGTCTCAGCTGGGTGGTTGCACTTCCAAGATCATGACTTTTTTTCTGGGTATCTTTTGTGTACAATATGATTTCTTTTATATTCACTATTTAGTTTTATCACATGCTGAGATTCTTATGAAAGAAGGTGGTCCTTTTACTGGTAATTAAGGGTTAATAAACTTGGAGCACTTGAGGTTTTTTTTTTAATAGTTGGTTCAGATCATCTCCATGGAGAGATAAATGAAAGAAAACACTTGGCAAGTGTTTTTTTTTTTTTTTTTTTTTTGA